CGTTACGGCCATTACGAGTTTGTTGTCATGCCTTTCGGTCTCAGCAATGCGCCAGCAGTGTTCATAGATCTCATGAACCGTATCTTTCATCCATACCCCGATCAGTTCGTTATTTTCTTTATTGACGATATCCTTATCTACTCGAAGAGTCAGAAGGAGCATGAGGAGCATCTGAGGGTGGTTCTTGAAACCCTCAGACGAGAGAGGTTGTACGCCAAATTCTCCAAGTGCGAGTTCTGGCTTCAGCGAGTTTCTTTTCTGGGTCATGTGATTACCCAGGCAGGCATCGAGATGGACCCTTCTAAAGTTTCAGCCGTGCAGAATTGGTCGACACCGAGGAATCCGTCCGAGGTTCGCAGTTTTCTCGGATTAGCTGGCTACTATCGCAGGTTTATCGAGGGCTTCTCTAAGATTTCCCTCCCTCTTTCCCAGCTGACGAGAAAGTGTGTGAAGTTCGAATGGACTGACAGATGTGAGGCGAGCTTTCAGGAGCTCAAGAGGAGATTGACTACAGCACCGGTGTTGACTATCCCAGATCCTTCTCGTAGTTTCACTATCTATAGCGATGCTTCGAGGCAGGGCTTGGGATGTGTCCTTATGCAGGACGGACGGGTCGTTGCGTATGCTTCGCGTCAGCTTAAGCCCCATGAGCAGAACTATCCTACGCACGACTTAGAGTTAGCCGCAGTCGTTCACGCCCTGAAGATTTGGCGTCATTATCTTTACGGCGGACGCTGCGAGATATTCACAGACCATAAGAGCCTACAGTACATCTTCACGCAAAAGGAGCTTAATATGAGGCAGCGGCGTTGGCTCGAATTGGTCAAGGATTATGATTGTGCTATTCAATACCATCCGGGGAAATCGAACGTCGTCGCAGATGCCCTAAGCCGAAAGGTGACGGGAGACTTGACGTACGTCATCACACAGCAGAGTCCGTTGATTCATGAATTTGCCCGGATGCAGCTTCAGGCGATCGATGCACTTCCCATAGCTGTCTCGGGAAGTAGCAGTGCCAGTGTCTGTTCTATGCAGCTTCAGCCGACACTGAGGGAGAGAATCCGGCGAGAGCAGGCTTCTGACG